GTACTACACAGAGTACTACGCAGTACCACACAGACTACTACAAAGTGCTACAGAGAGTACCGCACAGAGTATTACATGGTACTTCAGAGGGACCATGGACCTTAAAGGAGAATTCCGGTTTTTAACACTTTTAGCCCATTTTCTGTAGTGTCCAGGATGAAATCGAATGATCGACACCAAAAGTTTGACAATTGGTCCTGTCTCTGCTATTTGGCTCATGCAGAATCCCCCCCTGACTGCTTCAGAATGGCTTCCATAGTGCATGTCCGATAATGGATAAAAGATGTTTATAAGCCAAAAATGAAAAAGCTGGGGCCTTTTTTGTCTGATTTAGACAGGGGGAACAGATTACAGCAGGTTTTATTTCATCCCATATTGCCAATTCTGGCAAAATAGGATGAAATAAAACGGCTGATGTTAGAACACAAACTGTTTATAAAGGATAGTACAACAGTGATAAATTGTACGTTACTATAAACACAGATATAGATTTAAGTACTAAATTTCAACCAGGAAAAAATTATTTTCCTTCTGCATATAGTCTTTAATGATTACACGTGCACTCCATTTTCTATTTCATTTTTATTACAAGTATATGGTTTACAACAGTTTTCAATGGGATGAGAACATTTGGACACTGTGAAACAATGAGAGATTTTTTTAATGAACATGTGGAAAAGAACAAGGATCTGTTTGCTTTCAGAGGGAGGAGTAGACACTGCTGTCAGCGACCAGCTTTCAAGCCAACGTTTGTGTTTTATTATTAGTTTTAGATCAATATCACTGGCGATATTCTGCTATAACATGTGAAGTAAAGAACAAAACAGTAAAGCTCAACTCTCATGTACGTAAAACCTTTCAAATTTCAAGTTCTGCACGTTGGAATTGAAGTGGAGTTAACTCGGGTTGTTCTTCCTACTCCGTGCGCGCTCCCAACGAGGGGATACAAATTTTCGCAGGGATAACTACCTTGGCACGACACCGGGACGGTAATTTCGCATTCTGCTTACTTTTTTCCATATAGTCAGAGAAACAAACTCAATCCTTTAGTCCTTCGTTTAGCTATGCTGCGGTTGTTTACGCCTTTTCAACCAAAAATGGCATCTTAGCAAAAAATGTCACGTGACTGACGGAGACCGATTGCATTGCACTGATTTAGAATCTATAAAGCAGGAGTTATTATTTTTCAGTGATTGAGGTTTTAATAGGAATAGGTGGAGTACAACTTTTCTACTTCTGTTATTTGCTGTTGTTTCTAAAATCCCTAACGATATTACAGCTTTCATTGATTTATTTCAAAGTTGAAACATAGTCTAGACTGTAAGGTGTAAAAAATAAAATAAAAAAATGAACCAATTAATTGAATCGTGGTGTATTCTTGAGTATCAAAAATAATGGAATGGTTGGGTCAGGAAATCGATACTGAATGGAATCGCCATGATGGAGGTGATTTACACCCCTACTCAGATTCCTGTTTAAAAAAAAAAAGAAATAACTCAGTATTTGTAAGATAATAGTTCAGTTAGCTCTCTCTTGGTTTGCTGGAATATTGTGGATAAAAAACTTTCTTCTTCGCTGTTTTCTATGGTTTTGCTGCAGGACTCTAATTGAGACGCAGCCTATATGAAGCAAAGGAACTTGTAATGGTAACATTTCACCACTAGTTCTGCATTGAGATTTTGTCATTTAGCTGAACGCTGCAGCATCAGCAGGTAGAGGTTCTGTGTTGATGTCATCTTGTAGTGAAATGATGGAAATCACATGTCTTCCATTTCTGGATGCAGCCTGTAGAAGTTTAGCAGTTTAGCCGTCAGACTCAGGTGGGATCACAGGAAGTTCTCTCTGGTCACTTCCTTCTTCAACATGTTTGGAAATATGAAAGTTAAGTTTATTTTATACAGAAATTAGCTTCAGTGATGATGAAGGCCAGTTCTCTCTTGCAGTAGGACAGTGAAAAAACTAATCATTAAAATTGTCTTAAAATAATTATTAGAGATGCACCATACTGTAGCAAATAATGCTCAGCCTGCTGCCTTGTGAAACATCCATCCACCTGCTGAGGTCTCCAGTTTAGGTTACTCAGCTAGAAGGCTGCTGGAACCTTTTTTAAACACACATACGTACGCATGTCTATAAGAAAATAGTAAAAACTAATAGCTTCTTACATAAAGATGATCACAGTTGATATAACTGATTGTCATTGCAGTCAATGGCAGATTGTTTATGTCCAAATGCTCCAAACTGAACTGACAGTAATTAATGCAAAGTTAGAAACAACCTTAACCTGTTTATTCTTATTCAGCAGACCTGCTTTAATGTCCAACTAAACTAATTAAAAGTTCATAGAACCAGACTGATAGAACTTAGGTACATTTCCATAATATTAATAATTTGCCAATTGTAATCAGGGAGTCAGCTGATGGTTTTCATTGGGAATTGTTTCACAATTATGTTTAAAAAATCCTTATAGTGATTAATTGATCCCACAGAGCTTTGATGTCAACAAGCCGTCTCAGCTGTGCTACTGATTGGGTTTCAGCATCATGTTAGATTTTCTGCATGTTAACCTGTGCATGGCGGCTGTTTTCAGGCAATGATATCAGGCGTTAACCATGGCCGTTAACATCCTGGGATCCTTCTGGAATCCTTGTCATCAGTCTTAGAAGTGAAAAAACAAACAAACTGGAGATCTGTGCTCTTTGTGGGGACTGATGAACTGCTTTCAAGTGGTGCAGGAAATCTCTGTTTTCCACTGGTCCTTTCTCGTCTGAAAAGACCAGGAAAAGACCTTTAAAGCAAATGGTCAAATGTAGCAGATAAATTAAAAATGTGAAACATATATTGTTGTCATAATAACATATAGAGTCATAATTTCTAACTTGGTCATCTCCTGCTGGACGTCAGTCTGTCTCATTCTTAGTTCCTGACTAGAGATGGTTCCTGAATTTCAAGCTGCAGTTGCTGATTCTGGTCTGGATCCTGAACTGTTGCTGTTAACAGTGGCAGCAGGTTCCTTCCTGCCGACTCAATGTGAGAATATTCTGGTCTCTGGAAAGAAATGCATAGAAGAAAGAATAAAGAACCCTAAATGATCTGTTAGCGCTGCATTAATCCTGGTATCCTCTGTAGCACTACTTGACATTCCACACCAAACACAGGCTACCTGAAGGAGTTGCTTTATGCAGCAATAGTTTGTGTTTAGCGTTGCCTAGGCCAGGTCTAATGTGTTGCTCTGGGCTAACATGATCTTGAACTGCAGCAGTGGCAGTAAACTGAAATCGTTCATGACGATTGGAAATATAACAACTATGTCATATTTCTGTCTGCATAAATGTGACATAGTCGTCTTTTATCTTTTTAACTCGTAACGTTTCAAACTCACCTGCAGTGCTCTCATCATGCAGCTTTAATCTCACATCAGTCTTTAGCCAAACCTCATCTTATCCTGCCGGCGGCACGTTTCAGGTGTTTCGATTGTGTGGCGCCTCCTGCTGTCGGTTAGTCAGAATGACAGTTCTCCATGTATCACATGACTTTTAGCAGAAACTTACAGCAGTGAGTGAAGAATTGTCTGGAACACGAGGAGAGGCTGATTGCTATGCAGCAGAGATCGGTTTGGACTCAGGGAAAATTTACTAATTATATTTTCAGTCCAATGTTAGAGTTCGGTTTGTAAAACTAACTTTTGTGTTTAAAACATTTAAGGACAGTTTGAAAAAAAGTTTGATTTGTGTTTGACATCAGAGGAGAGTTAATAACACAAGATTTATTGGTAAACAAGATTTATTTGAGCGCAACATGTTTATTTATGAGAGATAAGATTTGTTTGTGTGAAACATGCATTTTTGTAAACAACGTTTTGGTATAAAAGTCACTCCATACTGATCTATTAGATCTAGTTCTATTCTAGAGCTGCAGCGCCCTCTACAGTCTGACTGGTTCTGATCCGTTCTCCTGCAGGTCTGCAGCTCTCAGTGTGGATCCTCCTCTGCTGTGTTCCAGTCCAGAACAAAGTAAGAACAGAACCGCTGATCAGAACCTGCTGGTTCTGATTAACTCACCTGTTATTGTTCCTGAGGCTAAACCAGAACTAATTAGAACCTGGTACCGTCTGACCCGCCTTTAGAACCTGGTACCGACTGACCCGACCTTAGAACCTGGTACCGTCTGACCCGCCTTTAGAACCTGGTACCGTCTGACCCGCCTTTAGAACCCGGTACCGTCTGACCCTACATTAGAACCTGGTACCGTCTGACCCGCCTTTAGAACCCGGTACCGTCTGACCCTACATTAGAACCCGGTACCGTCTGACCCTACATTAGAACCTGGTACCGTCTGACCCGCCTTTAGAACCCGGTACCGTCTGACCCTACATTAGAACCTGGTTCCCTCTGACCCAACTTTAGAACCTGGTACCGTCTGACCCGCCTTTAGAACCCGGTACCGTCTGACCCTACATTAGAACCTGGTACCGACTGACCTGAAATTAGAACCTGGTACCGTCTGACCCGCCTTTAGAACCTGGTACCGTCTGACCCGCCTTTAGAACCCGGTACCGTCTGACCCTACATTAGAACCTGGTACCGTCTGACCCGCCTTTAGAACCCGGTACCGTCTGACCCTACATTAGAACCTGGTTCCCTCTGACCCAACTTTAGAACCTGGTACCGTCTGACCCGCCTTTAGAACCCGGTACCGTCTGACCCTACATTAGAACCCGGTACCGTCTGACCCGACCTTAGAACCCGGTACCGTCTGACCCAACTTTAGAACCTGGTACCGTCTGACCCGCCTTTAGAACCTGGTACCGTCTGACCCGCCTTTAGAACCCGGTACCGTCTGACCCAACTTTAGAACCTGGTACCGTCTGACCCGCCTTTAGAACCTGGTACCGTCTGACCCGCCTTTAGAACCCGGTACCGTCTGACCCTACATTAGAACCTGGTACCGTCTGACCCGCCTTTAGAACCCGGTACCGTCTGACCCTACATTAGAACCCGGTACCGTCTGACCCTACATTAGAACCTGGTACCGTCTGACCCGCCTTTAGAACCCGGTACCGTCTGACCCTACATTAGAACCTGGTTCCCTCTGACCCAACTTTAGAACCTGGTACCGTCTGACCCGCCTTTAGAACCCGGTACCGTCTGACCCTACATTAGAACCCGGTACCGTCTGACCCGACCTTAGAACCCGGTACCGTCTGACCCAACTTTAGAACCTGGTACCGTCTGACCCGCCTTTAGAACCTGGTACCGTCTGACCCGCCTTTAGAACCTGGTACCGTCTGACCCGCCTTTAGAACCTGGTACCGTCTGACCCGCCTTTAGAACCTGGTACCGTCTGAACCGCCTTTAGAACCTGGTACCGTCTGAACCGATGGTTCTTGTTCTGTTTGTCCCTCAGGTTGGTGATGGACGATGGGACGGCTGAGGCTCAGGTCTGGTTGTCAGGGAAACAGGTCCAGAGTCTGCTGCGATTGGCTGATCCTCAGTGGGAGGGGCTTCAGAGAGCAGTCAGGGTCAGAGGTCACATCAGTGTGACTCCTAGGGGGCGGAGCCTGGTCAGTACCTGGTCAGTCTGAGCTGAATCAGCTCCAGGTGAGTTTATTAACCTGTCTTTGTCTCTCAGGGGACTGATGGAGACTCTGAGGACGTCCTCCTCCACTTCCTGTTGTCTCTCTGCAGCAGTGATGTCATCAGGCAGCAGGTCTCCCTCACCTGCAGGAAACTGACCAATCAGAGCTCAGAAGGTAAAAGTCTAGGTTCTCATTCTAAAGTCTGACTAAACGGGGCTGAACTTGGTGACGGTCAGATAGAGGTTAGGATTTACTCTGAGGAAGATCAGCGTTTGAACACCTGAGAAAATCAGTGTTAATATTTGGTCCAGTAGCCTTTCATTCCAGAGGTCAAAGGTTTCCTGTAGTTTTTCAGCAGGTGTGAAACCACTGCAGCAGTGATTTTGGCCCACTCCTCCACACAGATCTACTGTAGATCAGTCAGGTTTCTGGGCTGTCACTCCCTCCATAGATTCTCTGTAGGGTTTAGGTCTAGAGACTGGCTAGGCCATGCTAGAACCTAGATCTGCTTCTTCCAGAGCTGCTCCTTGGTTATCCTGGCTGTGCTTCAGGTCATTGTGATGCTGGAAGACCCAGCCTCCACCCATCTTCACTGCTCTGAGTAAAAGGAGGTTGTTCCCAATAATCTGTTAATCCATGGCCCCGCTCATCCTCTCCTTAATACAGTGCAGTCAACCTGTCTCATGGGCAGAAGAACAGCCCACAGCATGATGCTGCCACCGCCATGCTTCACTGTAGGGACGGTGTTCTTGGGATTGTTCTCATCATTCTTCTTCCTCCAAACACAGTTAGTGGGATTCTGACCATAAAGGTTTATTTTGGTCTCATCTGATCACATGACTTTCTCTCCTCTGGATCATCCAGATGCTCATTAACTGCAGACGGCCCTGACATGTGCTGCTTTAAGCAGGGGAACCTTCCATGCATGATTTCAAACCATGACGTCCTAGTGTATTACCAACAGTAACCATGGAAACGGTGGTCCCAGCTCTCTCCAGGTCATTGAGCAGCCGTAGTTCTGGGCTGATTTCTCACCTTTCTTGGGATCATTGATCCCCAGCAGGTGAGATCCTGCATGGAGCTCCAGTCTGAGGCAGACTGTCAGCCATGTTTAGCTTCTTCCATTTTCTAATGAAGCTCCAACAGTGGAGCTTTTCCCACCAAGCTGCTTGGTTATTTCCCTGCAGCCTTTCCAGCCTGGTGGAGGAGGACAGTTTAGTCTCTGGTGTCTTTAACAGCTCTTTGGTCTGGGCCATGTTAGTAGTTTCTTCCTGGTTGTCTGGGGTGGTCGGGTGTCTTTATGCAGCTGACCACCTCAGACTGGTGCATCTAATTTAGGAGAATAAATGGAGGAGGACATTTTAGTCTCTGGTGTCTTTGGACAGCTCTTTGGTCTTCATTATTAATATATCTGTTGAATATGCTGGTGAAGATTCTCAGTCATTCAGGTCATAGGCATCCCTAAAAACTTAAAATCAATCCTCTGGACTTTGTTTCCAAGTCTGAAGACGTTTCTCTTCCATCCAGGAAGATTTTTCAGTTCAAAATGTCAGAAATAGCGTTTAGTTCCAGGTTTTATCCAGCAGCCCAACAAAGCCTGGTTTTAGTTTAGAAAACATGCAAATAGAAACAGATGAACGGGTCCCCCCCTTTGGAATGGGGGTTTCTGAGGTCTTTATTAGCCTCTGTGATGGGAGTAACGGCGTTTAAACTAACGGACAGACGCTGCAGTATCTATAACAACCCAAACACACAGGATTTCAGAATTAAACATCCCCAGTTATTAATTTCATCACCAGATCTGAACGCCCTGTTAAAAAAATTCACTCCCATGAGGAGAGATAATGCAGCCTGATGATATTTACATCGTATCATAGAGTGTTCCCCCATGTTAAGCAGAGGGAACGCTATCTGACGGGCCTATAAACCCCCTCAGATAGCGTTCCCCCCCTGATGTCATTTAGGTTGAGTTGCAATAAATGCTAAACTCTCTGCAGGTTCTTGTCTTTGTCGTCCGCTCTATTCAGCTGGCTTTGGAAACACACGGTGAGAAGGTGGGGGCTGGAGGGGAGGGTTACGGGGGCGAGAAACGCAAAAGTAACGCAATAGTTACTTTCAAGCATGGACTGGTAATCGGGCGTACCGGGCATTTGCCCAGTGAGCGGACGTGCTGTTTGGGCCGGCAGACCCCACATGTATATTAATAATATGTATTATTATTATTATTGTTATTATTAATATTATTATTATTATTATTGTTATTATTATATATCGGCCTCATTATATTTGCATACTGCATGAAGAAAACTAAAATCAGCAGCAAGAGTCTGTTCTGACCCCCCGTTCCTTCCCTCAGGCTACTGCAGCCCATTGGTTATCATCCCTGACAGTCTAAAGGGCTCGGCCAATCAGAAAGTAGAGAAACAACCTTCACCTCCATTGGAACTTTGTGTTCACAGTAGGAATGAAGAAGAAACGCCAGGGAGGCGCAGAGAAACTGACTGACATGTTCCCATCAGCAGGCCCTTCATCTGCTCCGGTGTCTGATGGTAAATATGATGGTGGTTGCTGACATCCCAAGTCTCCTGGAAGTTTCAGGCGTCTCCCTCATATAGACAGTTGTTCACGGATGCCCGCGAGTCGGATAAATATTTTAGATTTTAGACTCTGGGAGGTGGTGCTTTTTAATGTGAGTGAGAGAGGGCAGGCAGTACAATAATTCATGCATCATGTGTGGATTAGAACTACTGCGATTGCGCAGACAACAGAGAGCGGGGTGTGTGAAAGAGGTTGCTGGTGAAACCTGTGCTGCGTTTCTGTCCAAAGCGATGCTCTGATTAACCAGCGTTCCAGGAGACTGGTTGATCAGAGAGCTGATTGGATCAGTCTGAAAAATAAGCCAATAAGTTTCAGTTTACTCTTTTACAGTCTCCTCATTTTGCAGCAGAAAGTGTCTCCATGTCTCGTGAAGGTGAAGAATGATGGAGTGCATGTATGGCGCATGGTGCAGCCAGGGGCGTCAGCTGACCCAGTACTATACAGGGGCACAATAGAGCACCAAATGAAATGCGAGCGCACAGAGCACCTGAGCAAAAAAAAAAACATAGGCACAGATAATTAATGCAAGCATGCGAGCAAATATTTTATGGCACTTATTTATTATTATAAAGCATCATAAATAAATTGTACAATCAGATTGTTATTTTCTGCTTTATGAAATATCTACCTGAACCAGACTGAATTGGCCCTCTTGTGAACTTCACTGTATATCTCTAATCCACTACTGATGAAGGCACAATTGATCTTCATTAATTATTTCCCTGAAATTAGTTTTTGGAACTTGGGATGTCTGTGGTTGTAGTGGAGGCGACGGCGAACTGAGCAGTGAACATGATGTCGTTGCGGCTGAGGAGAGAGAGATGAGCGCAGAGAGCAGGAGGTAATAGATTACTTTGCCCGTCCTGATCCTCGTCTTTTACTAAACTGTTTGAATCACCACTAACAACAAAGCACAAAAAACTCAGTTGTGCAAAAGGTGTTCACCACTAAAAATCAACCGACAGGATGCGGCTCACATATTGTGAGAAGCGTCAGGCTTTATTTTAGTTTTGTATGTATTGCATTTGGAAAGACTTCTGATAGAAGCTCATTTATTACTGGGACGTCTGATGGGAGGCATGTGCACCAGCGCACAGAAGAGCATGAGAGGAGTAGCATCATTTGTGTGGTTGACTGTGACCTCCCTCCCTCTCTCTCTCTCTCTCTCTCTGATCTAAGAATTGTTGCTGTGGTGGAGTTTACATTTTACAGTGTTAATAAATTAAGATGTTGGAAGTATTCTAAGTGTCCACTCTCACTAATTGAACCTGGTCTTAAGGTATTGCACCGTTGGTATAAACATTCAGTACACCAAAAAATGTGGTGGGCCAGTCTAGTCCAAAATGCCAGGGCCCACTTTTTTGTCCCAGTCCACCACTGGTTACTTTTACTAGTAACTAGTTGCTTTTATTGAGGAGTAACTCAGTTACTTTTGGGAGAAGTATCTAGTAACTACAACTAATTATTTTTTCAAAGTAACGTGCCCAACACTGGTTAGCCTGCAATGCCCCATACCTGTCTATGTCTCTGAAAGGGGGGTCGTTAGGGTTGTTATTGGCCTGGATGAAAAGGTGAGATTCAATTCTATTCAGTTTATTTCTATAGCTCCAATTCACATCATGTCATCTCAGGTCACTTTCCAGTTCACCAGATCATCCAGTCAGATTGATTCAAAGTTTTCTATCTAAGGAAAACCAGCTGATTGCATCGACTCATTGACTCTTCAGCAATCCCTCACACTAAGCATGCTTGTAGCGACAGTGGAGAGGAAAAACTCCCTTTGAACAGGAAGAAACCTCCAGCAGAACCAGGCTCAGTGTGAGCGGCCATCTGCTGAGGCCCACTGGGGTTCAAGGAGACAGAAGCAGACATAGAAAAAGAAGCATAGATACAAAAGGAAACCAGCTCCACAGGCGGCCCCGTCCAGGAAACACACAGCCAGGCAGACGAGCTCCGAGCCAGCTCCCATGTCAGAGGATGAAGAGAGCACATCCAGTTAGTCACAGTCAGAGAAACAGGACTACACTGGAAAACAGGCCAAGCTCCAACATCTAGAAACAAAGGTGTTGATGGCAGCAGCACAGCTGATATTTCTCTCCAGGATGGAGTCACAGCCAAACAGGAACAGACCAGATGAAGCTACTATGAGAAAAAGCAGAGAGAGCAGAACGTTAGAGATTGAACTAACAGATTCTGCAGAGTGGGAGAATAGAGATAGAATGAAGCAGAATGATGAAAAAGGGGTCCCTATGTCCTCCAGCAGTCTAAGCCTATAGCAGCAGAACTATAGAGATAGCTCAGGAGATGTTCTGGTCCCCTGCATGGGGGTGGGGGTTGCTGTGATGGCGGGAAGGAATCAACTCCTTTTGTCCTGTCTGACCATGTGGCAATAAGAATAATTGTCTTGATGCCAAAAAGAGCCCAACAGATTTTAGTGATCCGCTTGATTTATGCGTATAAATTGCTTTATTATAATTATGCAGGGAGTTTTACTAATTATATGGACACTGCAATGTAAATAGAACAGGAAAGGAAAAACAGATAAAAAGGACAAAAGATGAAAGAAAGAGGAGATAAAAGGGAGAAAATGATATAACATCTTCAGTCTGCTTCATCACCTGCAAAGAGATGGAAAAAGAACAGAACAACCAACAGACATGATATAAGTTATACAATACCGTAACACCTAGATATTGTCGCTGAAGGAATCAACTCTATCGCTGCTTTGGAGGTTTCTGGAAGCTGGAATCTGAGTGCCCCCCCCCCCCTCTTTAAAGTGGTCTTTCCTAACATAGATGCTTCCTTCCTCTCAAACCACCTGTCTTCTTTGTCCAGAATGTGAACATTCTGGTCCTCCAAAGAATGTCCTTTGTCCATCAGGTGTAGATGTAGCGCAGAGTCTTGTCCAGAGGAGGGCGCTCTTCTGTGTTGGGCCATGCGTCTGTGGAGAGGTTGTTTGGTTTCTCCAAAGATCAGATCATTCCTCCCTGCATTGACCTGCAGACACTCTGCTCAGATTAGGATGAACTAGTCTCTGTTTCAGGGTCTGGTTGGTTTGAAATGTTGTGGAGTGCTTGGAGGAAATCCTCTGGAGTTCCTCAGAGACTCCAGCTACATGATGGGATGGAGATGTTTTAGGGTTTAATCTTCTCACCGTTATGTTCTGCTGCGTCTCTTTGGGATTTCACCAGTTTGGGTCTCCGCAGGTCTGCAGAGCATCTCTGATGTTTCTGATCTTTGTGCTTCTGTTCTAGTAGAGACATGTTCTGCCCGCTGCTGGAAGGTTCTGATGACTGAGAGTTTGTGTTCCAGTGGGGGGTGTGAGTCAGAAAGAAGATACTGGTCTGTGTGAGTGGGTTTCCTATAGACTTCAAAGTTTAGGCTTCCATCTCCTTCCATGCTCACCAGGCAGTCCAGAAAGGGTAGTTTGTTGTCCTTGGCATCCTCTCTGGTGAATTTGATGTTACGGTCAACAGAGTTGATGTGTTTGGTGAAAGCTTCCACTTCCTCTAGCTGGATTCTGACGAATGTTTCATCCATGTATCTAAACCAGTGGCTTTGTGATGTTCCTCTGAAGGCGTCCAAAGATTGTCTATAATTGGTGAGACAGGAGATCCCATGACTGAACCATGCTTCTGTCTGTAGAAATTATTCCTGAACTTGAAATAGATGGAAAGACAAAGGTCCAGCAGGGTCCAGATCTGGTCCAGAGTGAAACTAGTCCTGGTGTTTAGGTCACTGTCTTGTTGAAGACGTTTCCTGACTGTTTCTCTGCCTCTGATATTCTGCAGGTGGAAAGAGGAGGAACATCAAAGGGTTCCTCCTGCAGCCATCTTTAGATTGAAAAAGCTTCCTAGATGGGAAATGTCTAAAACCTTGGTCCAGTGGATTGTTTTTTTTATTACTTTTTTTAAATGTGGTTGCCAAGGTAACCAGTCTCCATAGACCCTCAGCAGAAGCTGCTGATCCTGATCTGATTGATCTATTTCTGTGTTTCTATCAGAGGTCAGAAGATTCAACAGAGGAGACAGAGACTTCCTGACCAGGATGCCCCGCCCCCTGCAGCTCACCTGTACTCACCTGGACCCCCCATGAAGAATCACGATAACAGCAAATAGAAGCTCCTGTTCTGTTTAGATCCGTTAGTCTGAGTCACTGTTTCCCTTCACTGACATAGAAAGTGTTTATAGATCAGTTATTCTGTGTTCCTCCTGTTTCTCTCTCCTTTAACCTCATCAGAAGGTTTCTGGTGTTTTCTATATTTTCCATGTTCCTTTAAATATCTGGTAAAACATCAGTGAATAAATGTAGATCTAGAACATGACAGATGTTGCTCATTTGATCATTTTCATCACATTCGTTCCTGAATCCATCAAACTGCTGCTAGTATCAGAATGGTCCAGATAAAGTTCTACTGAATGGTTCTGGTCACAGTGTGAAAGTTGGATCTGGATTAAACCAAACAGCCTACCTGAGAACAGCTGGGTCCTGGTTCTGGTTCTGGTTCTGAGGTCCAGCTGGATCCTATGAGGAAGATCTATTCTCTGAAACACACCACCACCTGGTGGAGGAAGTCTGCAACTGCAGCAGAAAAAATGATGGGATCATCCATCCATCTCCTCATTCCTTCCGGTTCGTGGTGGGGGCGAGGCATATAGGACAGAGAGGAGGGGGTCCACCCTGGACAGAGAGGAGGGGTCCATCCTGGACAGAGAGGAGGGGTCCATCCTGGACAGAGAGGAGGGGGTCCACCCTGGACAGAGAGGAGGGGTCCATCCTGGACAGAGAGGAGGGGTCCATCCTGGACAGAGAGGAGGGGTCCATCCTGGACAGAGAGGAGGGGGTCCACCCTGGACAGAGAGGAGGGGTCCATCCTGGACAGAGAGGGGGGGTCCATCCTGGACAGAGAGGAGGGGTCCACCCTGGACAGAGAGGAGGGGTCCATCCTGGACAGAGAGGAGGGGTCCACCCTGGACAGAGAGGAGGGGTCCACCCTGGACAGAGAGGAGGGGTCCATCCTGGACAGAGAGGGGGGGTCCACCCTGGACAGAGAGGAGGGGTCCATCCTGGACAGAGAGGAGGGGTCCATCCTGGACAGAGAGGGGGGGTCCACCCTGGACAGAGAGGAGGGGTCCACCCTGGACAGAGAGGAGGGGTCCATCCTGGACAGAGAGGGGGGGTCCACCCTGGACAGAGAGGAGGGGTCCATCCTGGACAGAGAGGAGGGGTCCATCCTGGACAGAGAGGGGGGGTCCACCCTGGACAGAGAGGAGGGGTCCACCCTGGACAGAGAGGGGGGGTCCACCCTGGACAGAGAGGAGGGGTCCATCCTGGACAGAGAGGAGGGGTCCACCCTGGACAGAGAGGAGGGGTCCACCCTGGTCAGAGAGGGGGGGTCCATCCTGGACAGAGAGGAGGGGTCCATCCTGGACAGAGAGGAGGGGTCCATCCTGGACAGAGAGGAGGGGTCCACCCTGGACAGAGAGGAGGGGTCCACCCTGGACAGAGAGGAGGGGTCCATCCTGGACAGAGAGGAGGGGTCCATCCTGGACAGAGAGGAGGGGTCCATCCTGGACAGAGAGGAGGGGTCCACCCTGGACAGAGAGGAGGGGTCCATCCTGGACAGAGAGGAGGGGTCCATCCTGGACAGAGAGGAGGGGTCCACCCTGGACAGAGAGGAGGGGTCCACCCTGGACAGAGAAGGGGGGTCCATCCTGGACAGAGAGGAGGGGTCCATCCTGGACAGAGAAGGGGGGTCCATCCTGGACAGAGAGGAGGGGTCCATCCTGGACAGAGAGGAGGGGTTCACCCTGGACAGAGAAGGGGGGTCCATCCTGGACAGAGAGGAGGGGTCCACCCTGGACAGAGAGGAGGGGTCCACCCTGGACAGAGAGGAGGGGTCCACCCTGGACAGAGAGGGGGGGTCCATCCTGGACAGAGAGGAGGGGTTCACCCTGGACAGAGAAGGGGGGTCCATCCTGGACAGAGAGGAGGGGTCCACCCTGGACAGAGAAGGGGGGTCCATCCTGGACAGAGAGGAGGGGTCCACCCTGGACAGAGAAGGGGGGTCCATCCTGGACAGAGAGGAGGGGTCCATCCTGGACAGAGAGGAGGGGTCCACCCTGGACAGAGAGGAGGGGTCCACCCTGGACAGAGAGGAGGGGTCCATCCTGGACAGAGAGGAGGGGTCCATCCTGGACAGAGAGGGGGGGTCCACCCTGGACAGAGAGGGGGGGTCCATCCTGGACAGAGAGGGGGGGTCCACCCTGGACAGAGAGGGGGGGTCCACCCTGGACAGAGAAGGGGGGTCCATCCTGGACAGAGAGGAGGGGTCCATCCTGGACAGAGAGGAGGGGTCCATCCTGGACAGAGAAGGGGGGTCCATCCTGGACAGAGAGGAGGGGTCCATCCTGGACAGAGAGGAGGGGTTCACCCTGGACAGAGAAGGGGGGTCCATCCTGGACAGAGAGGAGGGGTCCACCCTGGACAGAGAGGAGGGGTCCACCCTGGACAGAGAGGAGGGGTCCACCCTGGACAGAGAAGGGGGGTCCATCCTGGACAGAGAGGAGGGGTTCACCCTGGACAGAGAAGGGGGGTCCATCCTGGACAGAGAGGAGGGGTCCACCCTGGACAGAGAAGGGGGGTCCATCCTGGACAGAGAGGAGGGGTCCACCCTGGACAGAGAAGGGGGGTCCATCCTGGACAGAGAGGAGGGGTCCATCCTGGACAGAGAGGAGGGGTCCACCCTGGACAGAGAGGAGGGGTCCACCCTGGACAGAGAGGAGGGGTCCACCCTGGACAGAGGGGAGGGTTCCACCCTGGACAGAGAGGAGGGTTCCACCCTGGACAGAGGGGAGGGGTCCACCCTGGACAGAGGGGAGGGGTCCACCCTGGACAGAGAGGAGGGGTCCACCCTGGACAGAGAGGAGGGGTTCACCCTGGACAGAGAGGAGGGGTCCATCCTGGACAGAGAGGAGGGGTCCACCCTGGACAGAGAGGAGGGGTCCATCCTGGACAGAGAGGAGGGGTCCATCCTGGGCAGAGAGGAGGGGTCCATCCTGGGCAGAGAGGAGGGGTCCATCCTGGGCAGAGAGGGGGGGTCCACCCTGGACAGAGAGGGGGGGTCCACCCTGGACAGGGAGGAGGGGTCCATCCTGGACAGAGAGGAGGGGTCCATCCTGGACAGAGAGGAGGGGTCCACCCTGGACAGAGAGGAGGGGTCCATCCTGGACAGAGAGGAGGGGTCCATCCTGGACAGAGAGGAGGGGTCCATCCTGGGCAGAGAGGAGGGGGTCCACCCTGGACAGAGAGGAGGGGTCCATCCTGGACAGAGAGGGGGGGTCCATCCTGGACAGAGAGGAGGGGTCCACCCTGGACAGAGAGGAGGGGTCCATCCTGGACAGAGAGGAGGGGTCCACCCTGGACAGAGAGGAGGGGTCCACCCTGGACAGAGAGGAGGGGTCCATCCTGGACAGAGAGGGGGGGTCCACCCTGGACAGAGAGGAGGGGTCCATCCTGGACAGAGAGGAGGGGTCCATCCTGGACAGAGAGGGGGGGTCCACCCTGGACAGAGAGGAGGGGTCCATCCTGGACAGAGAGGAGGGGTCCATCCTGGACAGAGAGGAGGGGTCCATCCTGGACAGAGAGGGGGGGTCCATCCTGGACAGAGAGGAGGGGTTCACCCTGGACAGAGAAGGGGGGTCCATCCTGGACAGAGAGGAGGGGTCCACCCTGGACAGAGAAGGGGGGTCCATCCTGGACAGAGAGGAGGGGTCCACCCTGGACAGAGAAGGGGGGTCCATCCTGGACAGAGAGGAGGGGTCCATCCTGGACAGAGAGGAGGGGTCCACCCTGGACAGAGAGGAGGGGTCCACCCTGGACAGAGAGGAGGGGTCCATCCTGGACAGAGAGGAGGGGTCCATCCTGGACAGAGAGGGGGGGGTCCACCCTGGACAGAGAGGGGGGGTCCATCCTGGACAGAGAGGGGGGGTCCACCCTGGACAGAGAGGGGGGGTCCACCCTGGACAGAGAAGGGGGGTCCATCCTGGACAGAGAGGAGGGGTCCATCCTGGACAGAGAGGAGGGGTCCATCCTGGACAGAGAAGGGGGGGTCCATCCTGGACAGAGAGGAGGGGTCCATCCTGGACAGAGAGGAGGGGTTCACCCTGGACAGAGAAGGGGGGTCCATCCTGGACAGAGAGGAGGGGTCCACCCTGGACAGAGAGGAGGGGTCCACCCTGGACAGAGAGGAGGGGTCCACCCTGGACAGAGAAGGGGGGTCCATCCTGGACAGAGAGGAGGGGTTCACCCTGGACAGAGAAGGGGGGTCCATCCTGGACAGAGAGGAGGGGTCCACCCTGGACAGAGAAGGGGGGTCCATCCTGGACAGAGAGGAGGGGTCCACCCTGGACAGAGAAGGGGGGGTCCATCCTGGACAGAGAGGAGGGGTCCATCCTGGACAGAGAGGAGGGGTCCACCCTGGACAGAGAGGAGGGGTCCACCCTGGACAGAGAGGAGGGGTCCACCCTGGACAGAGGGGAGGGTTCCACCCTGGACAGAGAGGAGGGTTCCACCCTGGACAGAGGGGAGGGGTCCACCCTGGACAGAGGGGAGGGGTCCACCCTGGACAGAGAGGAGGGGTCCACCCTGGACAGAGAGGAGGGGTTCACCCTGGACAGAGAGGAGGGGTCCATCCTGGACAGAGAGGAGGGGTCCACCCTGGACAGAGAGGAGGGGTCCATCCTGGACAGAGAGGAGGGGTCCATCCTGGGCAGAGAGGAGGGGTCCATCCTGGGCAGAGAGGAGGGGTCCATCCTGGGCAGAGAGGGGGGGTCCACCCTGGACAGAGAGGGGGGGTCCACCCTGGACAGGGAGGAGGGGTCCATCCTGGACAGAGAGGAGGGGTCCATCCTGGACAGAGAGGAGGGGTCCACCCTGGACAGAGAGGAGGGGTCCATCCTGGACAGAGAGGAGGGGTCCATCCTGGACAGAGAGGAGGGGTCCATCCTGGACAGAGAGGAGGGGTCCATCCTGGACAGAGAGGAGGGGTCCACCCTGGACAGAGAGGAGGGGTCCATCCTGGACAGAGAGGAGGGGTCCATCCTGGGCAGAGAGGAGGGGTCCATCCTGGACAGAGAGGAGGGGTCCACCCTGGACAGAGAGGGGGGGTCCACCCTGGACAGGGAGGAGGGGTCCATCCTGGACAGAGAGGAGGGGTCCATCCTGGACAGAGAGGAGGGGTCCATCCTGGACAGAGAGGAGGGGTCCACCCTGGACAGAGAGGGGGGGTCCACCCTGGACAGGGAGGGGGGGTCCACCCTGGAC